AGACGGACGGACGGACGACGGACACAATGTGATCAGAAAAGCTCACTTGAGCCTTCGGCTCAGGTGAGCTAAAAAAGACAAGAGGCCTATGGTCCAAATCGCTCACCTGAGAAGCTTTGACCATTCTGTTCTTTACCAGATTTCCCCCTTGTTATACAAAATGCATCCCCATCCCACCCGACTGATCATAATTTAGATATTTTGAAATCTACACTACCCCATGATCCTTCCATGGGCACATATGTTTCAGTTTTTTTGGCCCAGTGGTTCCTGAGAAGAAGATTTTCAAAGATTTTTCCTATATATTTCTATGTAAAACTTTGATTCCTATAATGGCCCCGCACTTCCCCCGGGGGTCATGATCCCTACAATTTAGAATTTACCCAAGAATGCTTCCACATAAGCTTCAATTTTTCTGGCCCAGTGGTTCTTGAGAAGAAGATTTTCAAAGATTTTTCCTATTATTTCTATATAAAACTTTGATTCCCCATTGTGGCCCCACCCTTCCCACAGGGGTCATTATTTGAACAATTTAGAATCTATATTATACCAGGATGCTTCCACATAAGTTTCAGCTTTTCGGGCCCAGTTGTTCTTGAGAAGAAGATTTTCAAAGATTTTTCCTATATATTTCTATGTAAAACTTTGATACTCTATAATGGCCCCGCACTTCCCCCGGGGGTCATTATTTGAACAATTTAGAATCTACACTATACCAGGATGCTTCCACATAAGTTTCAGCTTTTCGGGCCCAGTGGTTCTTGAGAAGAAGATTTTCAAAGATTTTTTCTATATATTTCTATGTAAAACTTTGATTCCCCATTGTGGCCCCGCCCTTCCACCGGGGGTCATGATGTGAACAATTTAGAATCTACATTATACCAGGATGCTTCCCCATAAGTTTCAGCTTTTCTGGCCCAGTGGTTCTTGAGAAGAAGATTTTCAAAGATTTTTTCTATATATTTCTATGTAAAACTTTGATTCCCCATTGTGGCCCCGCCCTTCCACCGGGGGTCATGATGTGAACAATTTAGAATCTACACTACCCCAGGATGCTTCCACATAAGTTTCAGCTTTACTGGCCCAGTGGTTCTTGAGAAGAAGATTTTTTAATGACCCAACCCTATTTTTGTCTTTTCTTGATTATCTCCCCTTGCGAGGGGATATGTCCCTTCATTTTGACAATTTAAATTCCCCTTCACCCAAGGATGCTTTGTACCAAGTTTGGTCAAAATTGGCCCAGTGGTTCTTGAGAAGAAGTTGAAAATGTGAAAAAAATTACAGACAGACGGACGGACAGACGGCTAGACAGACGGACGGAGGATGGACAAAATGTGATCGGAAAAGCTCACTTGAGCCTTCGGCTCAGGTGAGCTAAAAAATTTTTTTTAATAAAAACACAATTTGATAAAACTTAAAAATGAATTTTTAAAGAATCTATGTAATGGTATATATCTATAATATTAATGTGGTCGTAATCTTAACCCCCCTTCTTTTCGACACGATTTAATACGATAAGACTTTACAGGTAAGACCATCTAAGCTGAAGAATAACGGTAGCTGGCCCCGCCGCGGTGTAAACATGGTCTCAGGTAGCACCGCGATCAAAACCTGCGACAGTGTAACGCGGAAAGGATTAATACACCGCGGAGGGGACGCGTTCTAATACGGGATCCGCGTTGCCTGTACTGTATTAAATTCATTGCTTATAATCTAATTTCAATTCATTTGATGTAAGAAAAAGAGATGATTTTTCTAACAAAATAACTTTAATTTGTACAAAATTTGAATGTAACGTCAGGCGGATTGATATGTTTTTGATGCAAGTCATTGTGATGTAGGCAACCCATTTTATACAATATAAAGTAAATTTTTTATCCAATTAAGGTCATACGCAACGTAGTTTGAACTTTATTGGGTTCTTCGCTGGAGTTGAAGAGTTCCACTAAACGAAGGACCTGTGTACAATATTTTTTATGTCTATATATGGATTTGTATACCTCTTCTAAAACAATTTTTGATGAAAAAAAATCTGGAATTTATGTTTTGTAATATTTGTACATTTTTCTTTGATTTATGAATTTTTTTTCAAAATTTGATGTCTTTTCAGAACCCCTAGTAACGCATGTTGATTTTTTGTCGAAGAACATGTAATGGTATTATTGGTTTAAATAAAGAATACCTTGAAAAATTATCAGTAGGTAAGGTACCTTGCATATGTCCTTAAATACAGCGTTACAACCAGATTATTCTTCGGTACTTGAGACCATGGAAACTATGGAAACTTATTCAACTTTTCTGTGCACACACACAATAGCGAGGAAGAAGTATAAAGCAATATTTTCGTTATGGGGCATACTGTAATTATTTTAACTTTTATTTTTCTCCTTAAAATTAGAAGTTTTAGGTGCTGAAACCTGTAATTTTCTGAAACCTAATACTTTTAGAAACTGAACAAAATTTACATGGGTCATGCAAAAATTTTAAATTTGTTAATTTTCCCCTTTGTGTGTCACGGTGTCTCTTTAAGAATAAGACTTCAAATACCCAGTATATACAAAGAAAAATAACTCTGCTTGATAATTGTCATTTCAATTTCTCAATAGTTCTATCCATCCCACAGATCACTGATTACAAAGAGAGCCCTCTGCACATGCAGGGTTTACACTTAACGCTCGCCCACTCGCAAATTGCAAGTAAAAATTGATGTGGGCTCATAAAATTTGTAAGTTGCTCTCCCACGTGGCGAATAAAAATTCTGCAGGGGCTGAATTCATTCCCAGTCCCCTTACTGAAAAACAGACATTTTATGCAGATTTTTGATTTAAAACTACAGAAAAATGAAATAAATCACAGCAGTATGGTCCTATTGTTCATAAATATCCTTCATCTTTTCCATTTAAAGTACTATACGATTTGTGAAATTCCCTAAAACGATCGTCTTTTTTCCTAATCCGAATTTCCTCCAACCCTCTGTAAATGGTTGATATCATATGTGAGAGATATACAATTTTAATAACTCTCAACTACTCAGTCATATGAGTAGTAAGTGTCAATCAGAGACCTATATAATACTTTAGTATATAGGTCCCTGTGTCAATGCAATTTATCAGTTGAAGACATGTACCAGGGCTACATATTTTTTTTTACATGTATTACCAAGTAAAAAAAAGATATTAAAAATGTTCCTTGAATACAATTTTATTTCCTTTGATTAAATATTTATATGACATCTGATTTTTATAAAGTAAGAACTCTAATTTTAAACAGATGAATTTATATATGTACGAGGGTTGTCCCGTAAAATCGTGGACAAGTTGTCTAGTGTGAAAAATAAACATCACTGCGTTCTGAAATCTTCACTATTATTTAGTACATATTTTAGTAATATACACAGCAAATTTCAGATAAATATATGCATAAATAAACAAATTATGAGATTTTATGCCATATACTGTATCACCTTACGGCGCATGGATTATAACGTCAAAGTGTCTAAAATAGCATATTTAAGTGCATGATAATTTTTTTGAAAAAATATAGGCAAAAATAAAGATTTTATTATGCTTGAATGTGCACGAGGTATTGTCCTACGGCGCACGGTCAAAAAACCAAGGTTTTATTAAAGAATACACAAGTTTGAATTCAAAATAAAAGTTTTAAATACATAAGATTTGGATTAAAATTATCCTAAATTCAATTCCACAATCAATTTTGTAGTCTTTGCAAAAATTTTAAGGCATTTGGTTAATTTTTGGCAGTTTCTCGAGCATTCGAAATGGGAAAGTGGTAAACACAACACACGAAAAATGGCGACATTTTATGATGTTACGGCGCACCGGAGAGCAGTTCCGTTTTAATTCGATGTTGTAATGACACCTTTAGAGACTTGAAATGACCATAGAAGAAAAAAGATTACAAAAATATCACCACATCTTAAGTATACAAATGAAATAGGAGTTTCTTAGCAAAGTCTTTTTTGATCGAGTCCCTGGGGAGTACAAAACATACAGACAAACTCCTAATGTAACAGCAAAAGACGCTGTCACAGTAGACCGCCGATATGAGATTTTCTGTTAGTTGAATGATGGTGAGAATATTGTCTGTAACTTACTGATAAATCTTCAGAAGATCGCATGAGGGTGCCAATTGGTTTTTCGACTGTTTTCTATTAGATGAATGATGGTGAGAATATTGTCTGTAACTTACTGATAAATCTTCAGAAGATCGCATGAGGGTGCCAATTGGTTCTTCGACTGTTTATGGAGACTAAAGAATGTGTATCAATGAAATTCCTAAATTTAAGTCGGACTCATCCAACTTCATTTTCAGCAAAGATAAAACGTGACGCTGTTTTAGACACTTTGACGTTATAATCCATGCGCCGTAAGGTGATACAATAAATGGCATAAAATCACATAATTTGTTTACTTAAGTATATATTTATCTGACATTTGCTGTGTATATTACTATAATATGTACTAAATAATAGTGAAAATTTCAGAACGCAGTGATGTTTATTTTTTACAACTTGTCCACGATTTTATGGGACAACCCTCGTACACAGGGTTGGCAAAAAAGCGGGAAATACTCATATTTCCCAGAAAGGTGGGAAATACTGGTAATTCCAGATCTGCTCAAGATAAATATATCTCGCAAAACAGGAGCACAAAACTGTCCAGAGTCAATTTGTTAAAACAACATATTTGATTGTATAGTAATATCTGCAGTGTTTATAGATGGATTAAAACAATTATCTTCTTGGATTTATAATTAGTAAACTTCATAATCATGCTAAACTTGACAACAGCAAATTAGATAATTTTACTTGCTGTCTTATGTGATACTGATCCATTTTCTACATGTTTTATGGTATGCCTGCTGTCCAATCCATTTATGTGTTAGTTCATGATAAAATATGTTCAAATCAAATCATAAACCTTACGTTGTCTGTTTACGTTGTCTGTTAAATCCAACGTATCACAAAATGTTTGTCTGACCTGTTTTTTGAGTATGCCTAGTTTGATGAGTCGCAGCGAGTGGTAAAACATGGACTTGGGTTGGATATTAAAGACCTGTAGACTGGATTCACCAACAGACAATTCCCCTGCCCTCCGAGACCTGTCAATCAAAATATTGCGAATGATAGATAGATATATATATATATGGGCTGATATATAAGTGTTTTACCATATAGCTTCCTGACTAATGATATACAATTGAACTTCAGTAACTTGAACTCAAACATCGAACAATACCATAGATATGTCGAAGTGAGTTTGAAGTTCCAACCACTTATTCTTTGAGTATTTTACCATGGATGAGTAAAATGATAATCAGTATGCAAAATTTCAGTATGCCCCACTTTTGATAAGACTTACTTTTTTAGGTAAAAATTTCATCCCCTATACTGTTGCAACACCTAGCTCTGGCCCTTGGGGGTCATTATTTGATTAATTTAGAATCTTCAGTTCAATTGGGAGCTTCCATATTTGTTTCACCTTTTCTGGCCCATTGGTGTTGAACAGAAAAATTTCTAATTCAAAGTACATCTTTGATCCCCTACCCTGTCATGATCTATAGAATGGCAAAATGTCAGGTACAGATCAATTACAACTGACGTTAAAGGGATCACTCTAAGGGGAAACAAAAAATAACCATCTCAGTAATGAGAAAATGGCTGAAAACAGGGGTGAGCAAGGAGAAATAGGTGCAAGAGACAATGGCTAAAATAAATTGCAAAAAAAAAAATATTATCACAGAAAAGCAGTAAAACTTGTCCAGGAAAAGAAGGATTTTTTCATAGAAAAGTTTGTCTCATTGGGGAAAAGTGAAACTGCATGCCTTCCAAGTTCCAAATGCACTGAACATAAACACCTGTACACACCTGCTTTGTATACAGAGTTTGACACATTTCCCTACCTGCCAATCCTCTCCAGTACACAGAAGCCGATGTCTGCCATGTTATACAGACTACTGGGGTCCAGCTCTTCACCACACAAAGCAGTCAGTCTCTGCTCCTGAGAGCCCACAATCACCAGACTGTTACCATATCTGATAATATACATAAATCTATCTGACAAATACCTTAGCAAAACAGCTTTAATGGTTCTTTTAAATCTTAGGCCTCTTTCATCTCTGTTAAAAAAGTCTTAACATGTTTATAATACATGTACTTTCTTAAATTCCTAATCAACATTCAACAACCTAATTTTGTTAACCTTGATAAGGGAAACCTTATTCTTTGGTACATGTATACAATATAAACTGACCTCTCCTCCGCCTCTTTCACAGTTGGTCTAGCTTGAGAATCATCGTTTGGTTTTATTTCCATGGTAACACATTGTCTACTATAATACGTAGAACAGGAGCCAATCACAGAGCCCTCACTCTTGATGATTTTGATTGGATACAAGTCTTCTCCCACATCCTGTAAAATGATTTGTTAACTGTCAATGATTTTGATTGGATACAAGTCTTCTATATCCTGTAAAATGAATTGATAACTATTAATGATTTGGATTGTACACAAGTTTTCTACATCCTGTAAAATTGTTATTGTTATTAAACTGATATTGTGGTGTTTTATATATTATATAATAATACTTATAAAATCCACCATGATGACTTCCTGATTCCTGGCTCTAAAAATGAACTTTCAAAATCCACTGTCACTCCTGATTCCTAAATCTTACAAAATTAATTGTAAATTTTGATTTCTAGATCTACTTATAAATTTCAAACTTCACTGTAACTCCTGATCCCTAGCTTTACTTATAGTCTCATGAAATCCACCATAACTCCTGAATCCTGGCGCTATTTATGAACTTACAAAATCCACTGTAACTCCTGAGTCTGGGTCAATTTGGATTGGCTGCTTTGCGGTAAGGATTCCCCGGGGAGTTTCCAGTTTGTAGAACTCCAGATCCGGGATGGACAGCAAACAGGACCACAGGAATTCCCTACTCTTCTCATCCAGCCTCATTTTGAAGTTAACCCGGTTTTCCAGTCTTACCCATAATGCTTGCAGAGTAATGCCTATAAAACAAGAGGTTAACAGGTAACTATGATCAACTGAGTTTCAATGGCTCTGCTGTTCTTCAGCAGATTTTTTTGAATTTCTTTATATGTATTTATGTTTTAGAGTTAGACATTGATCCCCTTTTGTTGCTCTACCTCATGCATGGGTCATGATTTAAACAAAATATCAGTTTGACTTATCAGGTCTTTTTTGTTCGTGAAGTGTTTTTTACAGGATTTTTACCTCGTATTCCTAGATGCAAGACTTTGATCACTCACTGTGGACCTACTAATCCAAGGGGTTCATGATTTAAACAAACTTGTTTCTTTTACATGTTCACAGTACAGTTGTTACCTAGAGATTTTTACATATTATTTATGACCAATCATGGCTTTGCTGTTTTTTGAGAAGAAACCTTTCCTACCTACTTTACTACTTATTTAGCTATCACCATACTTTGTCAGTAATTCTCACCCTGGTGGTCATGATTTGAACAAACTCAAATGAACACTATCTATATGTCAGACTAAAATGATGGTAAAACTCTAAGGTCAAGGTCAAATGGTAAATATTATTTATACCCACTGAAATACTTTGTCAACAATGAAGGCCCTAGCAACAACTGTTCAAAAATTATGTTCAAGATATAATTATTGTAACTTTTCGTAAACAGATGAAGAGACGACCAAAAATAATATACATGTTATTGTACAGCAAAACTCGGTTATAATGAAGTCACTGGGACCTATGAAATTACTTCGTTATATCCATAATTCGTTATAACCATACAAGAAATTTATTAGATATATATAGCTGGGGATCCAAGATGACTTCGCTATATCCGTAAATTCGCAATATCCGTGTTCATACTAAACGAGTTTTACTGTACCTCCAAAATCTTTGATTATTTGGGGGAAGGTAGTTTTTGCCCTGTCAGTCTGTCTGTTTCTCCACAAAAACTTTAACCATGACCATAACTTTTGACTGGGTGGGGCTATGGCTTTCATATTTCACAGGTGTATTTCTTGTGACAAGTCCTTTCTTAGGGTAAAACTATGACCTTGACCTTTGATCCACTTTTACCAAAAATTTTAGAACTTTACCCTAGGACATTACTTTTGAATAGTTGGTGCTAGGGCTTTCATATTTCATAAATGAATTCACTGTGACAAGACCTTTCAATGGGTATAAAACAATTTTGACCTTGACTTTTTAGTCTGACCTACTTAAAAAAAAAATAACCTTGATCAAACAAATTTTTACCTTTAGTTCTAGTGCTTTTAAATTTCACAGGTATGTTCTTTGTGACAAGACCTTTTTCAGGGTACACCAATTTTGACCTCTTGACCTTGGAGTACATGTATGGTCCATTTTCACTTAAAAATCCAAAGTTTAACCTTGACCAACCTTTTCAACAGTTGGTGTAGGGGATTTTATACTTCATACGTATATTCATTAAGACTAATTTGTTTAATGGGAATAAACATATTTGACCTTTTAATATTGACCGTAGAGTACGACCTACTTTTAAAAGAACTATAATCTTGTCCATAACTTTTGAACTCTTAGAACTAGGACTTTTGTATTTCAGAGGTGTATTTCTTGTGACAAAACTTTGGATACCAACAATTTTGACCTTTAGACCTTGACCTTGGAGTTTGACTTGTATTTGACAGCCTTTAACTCTTGCTTTAAGCTGCTATAAACCATAAGCATCAGTTTTTTAACAAACTCATGTTTATTTACTGAAAATTTTTGTAAAACATGGTAAAATGGATAGTTATGCCAGCTCTGGGGTGCTTCCACATAAATATGATTGATTATGTACCTATGCTGTTCTTGAGAAGATTTTCATCCCCTCGCAACAGTTTCAGCACTCTGGAGGGAATATAGTAACGTGTTTGTGTGCAAGTGGGTTGTCTGTCCTTTGCAAAACGGGACATAATTTGCAAAAGGATCAATAGCCAGTGTGCTGTCTTGATTGGTAGATTTGCTTTTTACTGGGAGGATGACCTGCTCTATAGCCCTTGTTCCTCTTTAATATTCCTATGTTAATCTTTAGTAATTTTAAAATATGACTGTACAGTTAACGACATTATCATGAATACTGTCTTCTCCCTTTAACATGATTGAGGGCCCCTGTGCCTAATAGAAAAGGAATAGTTCACTGGTACAGTAATTGAATTGTCACTTTAAATTTTGAAATCAAGACATCATGTTAAATCAGACTTATACGGTTACCATCCAGTCCCTCCAATGCAACCTCCTCAGTCAGGATAGCTCTGTAATCTGTGTCCATTCTCTGTTTTCTAATAATAAACTACACCCCCACTCCACCAGACCTGCATCAGAAACATACTGTACTGTTAGGTTACATCACATTTCTAAATCAGAAAGCAATTACTTCCAGATTGAATATTTAACATAAAAGCACAAATTTCAGAGGTGAAAATATGTGTGAAAATTCATCTCTTCATTTGATATACTGATAAACAGATAAATAGGCCTGGATAACTTTTAGCTAAATCAACCTTTTCAATAAATTTTGAGTAATGGCGAAGTTTATATAGACTGAAACTGAATTTAAATTTAAAGTGACAGGAAAAAATAAAAATGAATTGAAGAAAAATGTAATTGAAAAAAAAATTAGAAGATGACAACATTCGCCGCAAGTCAGAGTCGAACTTGTGATCTCCGATCCGAGGGGTCCATCCCCACGTGTTTTTGTTTACAGTCCGAATATCCTAGGTCAGCAAAACCTAAATAAAACTCAAACTTTAACACATATTGTTCAATATCCACATATTTTGTTGGCAAAAACAAGAATAAACACCTGTTTAGCTAGTGAAATAGAAACGAATATCCTTGCTCAAATATGTCTACCGCCATTTCTCCGTATTTACATCACTTTGTTAGAGGAGTTCCGAAAGAAAGCTTAGATTGCGCGCCAAAATTCAAAACTTCCGTACATCTTCCTGCTGGACTGTGTCATTGATTGATTGAATTGTCTTGTAGATGAGGCAATCGTCTGAAATAATTTTACATTTGATGTTACCACCTCCGGGGATCATTGATGTAGGCAAGAGGGACCCATAACTGTGCCTTGAGGTACTCCAGAGTTCACGTCTGCTATGTATGAGGACATCCCCTCAATCAATACTCGCTGTTTTCTGTCCGATAATAAACTTTCTATCCATTGAAGACTGCAGCTACGAATCCCAAAATAATTCAGTTTGCAGAGGAGTAGTCGGTGTGGAACCTTATCGAATGCCTAACGCCCTTCAGTTTACGAAATCCAGTAAGATGACATCAATCTGGTTGCCGTTCGATAGGCTACTAGCCAGGTCTTTTACTGTGGAATTAATTTGAGTCTCAAATGATCGCTTACTACGAAATCCGTCTTTATTGGTGTTAGGATAAAATTCCTTTCAAACTGGTCCAAGATATTGGAATGCAAAATGTGTTCCAAGATCTTGAAGCAAATTGCCGTTAGTGATACAGGACGGTATTTAGCCGCCGAACTCTTGTCGCCTTTCTTGAAAATAGGGACGACATGAGCCATCTTCCAGTCATCTGGCACACTTCCACCATTAAGAGACATATGGAAAAAAGTCAATGCCGATGTAATCTCCTCTGCCAGTTCCTTCACAAAACGTGCTGGTATGGCAACTGGTCCGGTAGCCTTGTTTGGTTGAACTTTAGGGAATAATTCCTTGAGGGTAATATCATAATCCTTCAGATTTTCTGGCCTAGACCCATAGAACCATTTCTTTTCCATCACAGCTCCAAACCACAGAGAACCACAATATAGGTAAAACACCTGTCCAGCTGGAAAAGCTTGAGTACACCGCGTGAATTGATGGTTATGCTGTCCATTGTCAGAAATGGGCTGGAACCCTTGTCTGGAGCTTGCCTAATATCCTCCGTTGTAAATACGGATTTAAACTATTCATTTAAGATATTTGCCTTCGCTTGTCGGTCGCTGGTTATGAGCCCATCAGTTTTCCTTAAAGCCATATATGGCGTAACTGATAAAAAAAAATACATTTTTGAAAAATACAAAATTAAGTAAAGAAATATAGTTGATACATTTAAATTAAAGCTTTTCATACAATTCGGAGCACGGAGGACACCTCGTTTTATCTAATAATACGATTTTATCTTCTC